AAGAAACGTGTGGTATTTGTGTGCAAAGCAAAAACTTTGCTAAAGAACACAGAAGATATAAATAAAAATATTCACGCAAATTCTGTATGCCCTCGTTTATATGTAGAATTGTAAAATGTTGAACTCAAGAGGCAGAGTGGCACGGTGCTCACCAGGGGCTGGACAGGGTGTGGGAGAAACCGAGAGATACATCAGAGGGCACAGACTTTCAGCTACAAGATGAGTAAGCTCTGGGGACCCAATACATGGCAAACCCTGGCAATGATGGTTGGTCATACCATAAGGTATACCTGGAATTTGCCAAGAATAGATTTTAAGTGTTCTGCCACCAAAAAGAAAAAAAAAGTATGTGAAGTGAAGGATGTGTTCATTGTAATAATCATTTCACAATGTAATCATATAGCAAATCATCACACGGTGCACCATTAACATATATAATTTTTATCCATCAATTATACCTCAGTAAATTTAGCTTGAAGGAAAAACATGCAGGCTGGCTAAATGGCCATCATTCTTAAACTAACACATAGAGACAATTTTCATCAAAATCACAGTATGAACTTGGCTTTAGTTTAGAACTTGATACATAATTCTGAAGCTCAACTGGAAGACGAACGTATGAGAATATTTTTGGTAGGAGGGTAGCTTGGCAGGGACTGTATCTACCACACATGAAATGGACAGGAGCTGACACATACATCAGTGGAAAAGAACAGAGTCCAAAAAACCACAGGCATTTTCATCAATGATCACATAAAAACATGGTTTCAGCTGGTGATGCCAATATTATCTGCGTCATGCCTTATCTTCTATCTTTTCACTAAAACGGCCAAGAAAAGCTGCTCTACATTTTTAGTAGGCCAGCAGGAAAATTATTTTACTATTAGGTCAATTAAGAGATCTGCAGTAGTATAAAACTGAAATTATGACCAAACGTTCTGACTCCATCTGCGCACGTATTCATTTATTGTCCAACTCAAATGTAAATTTCAGAAGACTCTGATCTAGAACTCAGGCTCACTGGAAATTATGTCACTCTGTGGTTAAGTGGGGACCCATAAAGAGGGACTCACACTCATCCCTACAATTTCATAGTAAGACCAGATTTCATGTCTGAAATAGAGGGCACCTGATTTAAAAAAAACAACTATTAATAGTTATCACTGATGTGAACATTGGTAAATAGTAGTGCTAAGATCTTTTAAAGCTACGTACAACTTATTTTATAATTCAAGAAATAAGATACAAGCAACATAAAGACATACTATTATTCAACAATTTAATAGAAGACAGTGGTATTAAATTCTGGGTGCCCAGGTATCAGGTAGCATTAACATCTTTAGCAGCTGTCTACACAAAAATAAAAGCTGAGCCAAGGATGTAGCTCAGTGGTGCCACCGCCTGCCGAGCAAGCGCAAGGCCCTGAGTTTAACGCTTGGAACCAAACAACCAAAACAACGACCAAAAGCATTCTAAATCAACTGATAAGCTTCTATAATTCTTTTGTTTTTACATATCCTCTAGACATCAGCTGCATTAACAAATTAAAACTGAATCGGATAGAAAAACTAAAATTATCTCAAGAGTTTGCTTCCCAGAAAAGGAATCATTCATAGCATTAATAAGGTGAAGAGAGCAAGACAGTACACTCCAGCAGGAGCACTCCTGAGGCCCTAACTGTGCTGCTTTTGGGGGTGGGGGTTGGGGGATGGGGTCCTGGGGATCAAACCCAGGACCCCGTGCAGATAAGCATGCCCTCTGCCACTGAAATGTGCCTCCGGCCCTAACTTCATTTTTACTTTATAAAATTTTGCTGTAACAAAAGTTTAAGTTCAGGGTTTCTTCATGAAGAGCTCTTACAAAACCTGACGCTTTGTAAATAGCAGCCAGAGATGACTACAGAAATCCAAAGCCCTGGTCATTCTAAGAATTCCAACTCAACTACCTAGAGAAAAAGCTATTTTTCTGATGTTTATTTGTAAATTAAGGCACCATTTTAACATAGTTTTATATTATACTAAAATATAGTTTTATATATACCTTACATTACATATAATTTAGTTATATATACTATTTTATATTTTATCACATATATAGTTAAAATACAGCTTTTGCAAAGGCGTTCACTGGCTAGGAATTTCTTCCTGTTTATTTTCTGTGTGAATGAGGGTAGTCACAATAGTGCCAACATATGTAAGCCTAAGAATCTGATTTAAAAGAGTAATAAACTATAGACACTAGCCTATAAACATAGTGCAAATTGCTACTGATAGTAGAGTACGATTACACCCCCAATTGGTGGGATGGAGTTTGTATCCTGAGTCTGCTCTTTACTCTGTGGCCTTAGACGAGTATTCAACTTGTAGGAACCTGAGTTTTAGGATCTACAGCTGTGCCACCGTATATTATAGTCATTAGCCATATTCAGCTATTTGAACTTACATTAAGTGAAATGTTCAGTTCCTCGGTTGCACTGTCCACATTTCATGAGCTCTGAAGCTATGTGTGGCTCGCTGTCACCACACCGGACAGTACAGATGGTAGTAAAAATAACCAGGAAGATGTGATTGAAGATAACAAGTGGAAGCAAGAGGTCTTATGGAGTGCTTTAGATCCTGTGGTCAGGAAAGGCTACCCCAAGGGGTTGATGTGTAAGCTGAGTCTGGAACACAAGATGCAAGCAGCATGCAAAGGTCTGCAGAGAGCATCCCAGGCAGAGTCAGCTGTGAGGCAAAGGCCTCAGGCGCAGATGAGCCCAGCTAGTTTAACAAGAGTGAAGTAGAAGAAATAAGGGGCCAGGAATACTAGTCCAAGAAGTGGCAGGAGGCAGAGCCTTCAGGCCCATATAAGCCATGTAAAAATTTTAGATTTTATGCCATCAAAAGCCATAGAGGGTTACAAAGAGGGAAATGCTGTGATCCATCCTCTTAAAAGCTTACTCTGACTACTGCTGAATTACAGGCAGCCAAGAGCAGAAGCTGTAAGATCTGTTAGCAGACTGGTGCTGAGGCCCAGGCTGACAGAAAGCAGAGGGTGGACCAGGGCAGTGGCAGAGGGACAGAGAAGACTACTCCATTTCTCTGTATCCCTCGCCTATAACCCTGTTCCTATTAACCTTCACAGCCAAGCTCTGCAGAACAGTCTCCATCATTTTTTAACTCAACATCCTATAAAGATGCTTTCTGTCTCCACTGCTCCACTCCAACTGTCCAAAGGTCCCAGTTACCTTCATCTTCCCCAAACCAGCGAACACTCTACTCTTACCTGACGTCTGCTGTATTTGCAAGACTGCTGACCACCTTGCGCGCACCAATGCTCTCCTTCCTCAGCTCCCGGGGGATTACTGTCACCTAGTTTCTTCTGTTACTCCTCAGCCCTCTCCAAACTTTTCACCAACTCTTAAAGGTTACATCTTTGGAACTAAGACTGTTTCACAATGCACACAATCCCTGAGATTGAAAATGACACTTCTGGTAACTCTCAAATTAATATCCCTGGCTCAGGACCCTATACCAAGTTTTACACCTCTATATCTACTGTTCGACTGGACCTCTTCACTTGAACACACCACAAAGATTTAAAACGTGAAAGGTTAAAATGCTGTCATTCTCTCATTACAGACCCCTGCCCAAGCGAGAGGCATCCTAAACTCCCTGCCACTCACCAGCCACCGCCAGTCACCAGGCCTCTGCCAGGTCCTGCAGATCCACCTCCTTAAAGTCTGCCGTGGCCCTTCCTCTCAAAGCCTGCTTAGGCTTACTTCAGGCTCGCATGACTTCTTGCTTGGATGACTGAACAGCCTTCCAATTAAGTTTCCCGCTCCTGTCTCTCCACCACATCGCTGCCAGAACACGATAGGTATTTGACAAATTTCATGTACACATTCTGTACAGAGCTGACCGCTTCACTTCTCTGCCTGAAGTCTTTCAGAGGCCTCCAATAACTCTCACAGGACTTCAAGATGATACGGCTCTGTATCAGCATTATAGCCTCATCCTGTCCCCTCTCCTCCTCTCCAGCCCTTTAGCTTTTCTTAGTTCTTTAAGTATCACAGCCTGTCAGTTTTCCTTCCTCTGCACAGGCTATTATTTTCCCTTATTCCCCGCCTTGCTACTTCAAAAGTAGGTTTCCTGGGACCACTTCAAGGAAGTACCTCATAGAGATGTCATCACTTTGTGGTAGCTACTGTTTGTCTCTCCCAATGAACCATAAACTCCTAGAGGGCAGAAACTACTAACTCTAGTTGGTTTATTGCACCGATGACTGATTCAGAGTAAACTCTCCCGGATAGCTTTTATTTAGTATTGTCTGATATTTGAAAGGGAAGCTTGTTTTGTGGCCTTTATATTTCACCATTCCAGTACAGCACAAAGTGACAACACTGTACTACACAGAAAATGTGCTTCACATCGGAAATGACAACACGCCCTTTCAAGAGCAGAAATGTAGGAAACTGAGGAGCTACATAGTACCTAATGACACGGCCTTGGGAATTTATACTTAAGCTCAAGGAAGGGCTTATTCACATTGTTTGATGCTATTAACAGGTGGAAGGCTTCTCACCTCAACAAAGCAAAATTAATTTTGTTTGGCCACGCTACTGTCATTTGAGTCCCACTGTCGACTCGTGCCCACTTCTTAACAGGTAATTTTTCCTGCTTGGGAGAAGTGTTCTCACCACCCAGTCCCTCTCCTGCTAGTCGGCCAGGAGTGCCCTACAGCTGGACGAGGGAGGAGTGGAAGGGGTGCGGGGACGAGACTTCTGGAAGACACAGCGCAGGGATTCCGGGCAAGAGGCTGACGTCCAGCCCGGATGGGGTGGAGGAATCGACCGGCGGGCAGGGTGCGCGGGAAGGGGATGCCTGGCGGCGGGCGGGCAGCTGGGGAGACCCCCGAGGGAGAGGAGAAGGGCAGGGGCCAGGGGCCCGGCAGGCTGGGCGTCCGCGCGGACCGAGGAGGGGACGCCCCCTGAGGCCCGGGACCGCGAGGCGAGCGCTTACCCGGGTCCCTCCGCGCGGCGCCGCTGGGGGCGTCCTCGCGCAGCTGCGGGAACAGGAAGTCCCGGGCGGCATGGAGGTCCTGGAAGTGGCAAAACGGGACAACGGAGCAGGCCATAGCTGCGGGAGCCGACTCGGGGACTCTGCGCCTGGCCCGGCACCGCGGAGCCCGAGCGCGTCAGCCGCGCAGGAGGGGGCGGGGGGAGCCAGACCGGAAGCTGTCTACACCCGGAGCGCCCCCCCCCCCCAACAGCGGCACTGCGCCTGCGCGGCACCCGAACGGGGCACGTGGCTCCGCCTCAGAAAACTACGGGAGCCCGGGCGGGGCAGAACTGCAGTGCTGAGCTAACGTGAAGGTTCGTTCTGCCTTTTCGCCCAATGTGACCTAATGGGACCTTGCGCGCACCTTTGAGTCATCCAGCCAGTTTATTGATGTTTACTGCTGACACGATTCTGATATTTCACAGAGTAATGCTTTTTAAGCCAGGGGCAGGTACCGGTATAAAATGCACGTTTAAGTAGCTTGTTTTGAAAAGATGGATTTCTGAAAATCAGCCCCATCCAGGCTGGCTTTAAATGTTCCTCCCATAAATTCCCGCAGTGCCGCGGAAGCGAATAGAGTAGACGAGTGACACTGTGTATACTCTGTATTATACTCTGTGTTTCCATCATCCAGATGATTCTTCATTCATTTATCCACCCATTCGAGAAGTATTTGTTAGTCTTTTCTGTTACCCGCCAGGCTAGGCGCCGAGTGTCAGAACAAAGAGGACCTACTCCCACGGCACTGAAATGCCAGTGACTGATGCAGGCACTAAGCAATTAATTACGCACCGTTGTAACCGAAGTTGTGATAATTCTAGGACGGAAAGGAGCACAAAGGGCTATAACAGAAGATAACCTTTGTATACCCAGTATCTAGCATAGTACCTGGCACATAGTGCTTAATCATATTTCCCCAAGGGATAAATGTGTACCCAAATTAATAGACTATCCGTTTCTTTTAGGAAGCACTTGGTTTTTGAAAGTATTTTTCCATTCGTTGTGCAATTGGAGAATCAAAAAATGTCATCTTGAAAGTGTGTCTTGTCCCAAATTTTTATTTTTATTTATTATTATTATTATTATTATTGGTACCTGGGATTGAAATTGGGTCCTTGCGCTTGGGCAGCAGGCAGTGAAACCACTGAGCTAAATCCCCGTCCCTGTCCCAAATTTTTAAATGAAGAAGTTGATCTAAATGAAGGAGACTCTTGAAGTCCATTTAGGTTATTTTTTCTAGAGAACAAGAAACAAAAAATGTATCATTTTAATATTGGCACAAAGGACTGCAGGCATTCACTTCCTGAAGAAAATCTAATGAGGTCATCTACTTTTTATAAAAGAATCAGTGCCAGGCACATATATGGAGTCCAGAGATTCGTATCTCTCAGTCCTGTGTGCACACTTGGTCCTAATAATGTAACAACTTTAGCTGAGTGCCAAAGTCCTTACTCCGTAAACTCCTGCCTCTAGAGTAGAAGGATTTTCACAAAATAGGACCAACAATTTCTGTGTTATAAGTTTTACAGGGATCTATTTTTCACCTATACAATTAGATGTGGATTAGATGTATTATAAGTTTAACTGTCAGGGAGCTATAATTATATAATCAAATCTTGCAGAACGGCAGTGGCCAATGTGGTTCTTTCCTCATTTGAAGAACATGCAGTGCAGCCTCAGATCCTCACTCAGTAGAATAATCCAGTTCTGATAAGATTACTTCCTAAAATCCAGCACCAACAGCAAACTAAAATGAAATTTAAGCCAGGCACGATGGCACATGGCTGTAATCCCAGCACTTTGAGAGGTTGAGGCAGGAGGATCACAAGTTCCAGCTGGGGCAACTTAGCAAGTCCCTATCTCAAAGGCCTGGGAATGAAGCTCAGTTTAAGTGGTCTGGATTCAATTCCTAGTACCACAAAAAAGGAGTGGAAGAAGAGGGGGAGAGAAAGAGAGGGAGAGAGACATTGAAATTTAGATTCATAGCTTTATTGGACAAATAAAGAGCACATAGCCCTTTATGAAATACAGTGTCCTTCTTTGAAACCTGTCAGGTTCCTGTTCCTGTACATGCATGTTGTGGAAGGGACGGCTGCTGTCCGGCCCTGCAGCATTGCTGTAGCTCTTGTGTGGCAGTTGTTGACTTCGTTACTGTGTTGGCTCAGTGTCAGTATTGAACTACCGACTTCCTTCCAAGTGGTGTTGAAAAGGCTCATTATGAATGTTTTAAGGACTTCAGATTCGCTTCACAGAAATCACAGCACTTTCATGAGCTCTTCAGGATATTGTCAAGCTGCAGGGGACGCCTCGGAGTTCTGCTGCTATCATTCCTGTGGCGTGTGGGAGGACTGTGTCAGACAGTGGACGTGTAATCACACGGTCTCAAGAAAGCACATTGAGGAAAATGTGCAGGCCTTTCATACACAGGTGTAGACGGTGTCTCTTTGAGATCTGAGTTCAGGAGCTAGGAAAAGAGCTCTGACCAGAATAAGAGGAGGTGCCAGGTTCGATGGGAACTCCCTAGGCTCCACTCCTCTGAGTTAGAGCACCCGCAGCTATTAAGAGAGAGATGCGTACTGACAGTAACTCACAGCAGCAAATCCTTGCCAGTCCTTAGCCACAGCCCAAGGCCGAGGGGCTGAGCTGCAGGATGGGCAGCAAAGGGTGACAGAGAGCAATGGACGTGGGGTCAGGAGCCTTCCAGACTGTCTCAGCTTTGCTACTGATCAGTCTCCTGATCTTGGGCTATGTGTGTCACCTGTCTGGGCTTTAGTGTCTTGACTTGTAAAATGAAGAGGCTGGGATCTGAGGCCAACCCCAGGGACATGTAGGTTTTGGTAAGAAACTGGCACAGGCGAGGTCTGTGCATTGAGTTGCACAAAAGACACTGAGAAAAAGGCCTGGGTTGGCAGGAGTAGGTGTGAGAATTCTGAGCATCTCTGAAAGCACAGCAAAGAAAAGGAGTAGAGTTACTGAGGGTCATCCTTGAGCAGAAAATGGCATGGGCAGAAACAAGGGCTTTCTACAGTGAGTTTTTATTCAACAAACATCTGTGGGTGGTTTAGGGTATGGTTTTAGTCTAGATGTCCCTCCAAAGCCTCATGTGGTCATAGGCTATTTTGGAGGTGGCCAAAACTAGAGAGTGTGATTAATTCATGGTGGGGCTAGGCCCAAGGGCACTAGGATTAAGGGTATGAGTGCTACTCACCCTAAGCAGTCTGAACAAGATAAAAGGAGCAGAAAGATGCTGTTAAGGTCTTTCATTGCCTTTGCTGCCTTGTGTACACTGTAGGGAACAGGAAAAGGGGATGTTACTAGAACTCCTGTATTGAGTCCTAGTCTCCTGTGAGTCACTACAGCATAAGAAAAATTAATGAAGACAGAGAATGAGACTTAGAGCAGAAGCTGAGCTTTGGCCCTTTTCAGTGCTGGTCTGGGCAGCAAAGATGAAAGACCACACCTTACCACACCTTTATTTAGTAGATTGGGACTAACAGATGACTCAGAAGGCCTGCCAAGGTGATAATCCCAGAACAATGAGGAACTATGGAGATGAAGATTTTGTTCCTCCCCAGGATGACTTCAGCTGGTGTAATCCTGCCCTGGAGCATCACTGGACCATTGAGGTTTTAGCTGTGACGGGAGGTGAAAATGGAATTATGTCTCAACATGCCATAGCCAGCCTATAGGCAGGGAAACTAGGCCTAATCGTAATTTAATTATGAAATAATTTTTCCCCCAAATTATGTAGAATTGTTCCTGACAGTGGGCCATGTTGTTTCTCCTGTGCGATGCCTGTTTGCCATCCCTGCCTTGGAGCCAGCCGATTATGGACTGAAACCTCTGTGAATTGTAAGCCAAATAAACCCCTTCCCCTCTAACTTTGGGTGTCGGGTATTTTGTATCAGCAAGAGGTGCTGTGGTGGGCACAGTGGGTTGGTGAGAACGAGCTCTGTAGTCACTCACTACCTGAAAACAGGCAGCCGTGGAGGAGCACATGAAGGAGCAGAGTGGCCAGTGGGCGGTGGGAGAAATAAAGGCGAGGTTGATTTGGGTTACTAGGCTTGTTGTGTGGGAAAGGTTTAGCAAAGAGGTAAGGAAGGTGATGAACAGATTGATTCTGGATTATAGAGAACTTTAAAGCTCAAATAACATTATCTGGTTTTTTTTTTTTTCTGGGTAAAAAATGTAGCCAAGTGAAGAATTTCAAAGAGCGAGCAGTGCATGGGATGACCAGTGGCAGAGACTCCTCAGGGTGCGATAACAATAACAAGAAGTAAGGACATGCTGGAGGGCAGTTCCACGGAATCTGGACACATAATTAGATGCATGTGGTGGGATGAGAGGATAAGACAGTCCAGAGAGCTGGGAGGTTACCAGGTCGTGTCACCACTGAGAGAGAATGCAAAAGGAGGAAAAGTTGGAGTCAAATGAGAATGGGATGAATTTAGTCTTGGATTCATTAAATTTGAAGAGCCTGTGGAAGAGCTAAGTTTAAAGAAAGCTGTGTCCTGTCCACAGAGGTTAGAAACGTCGTATCAGAGAGGCCAGACCTGTGGACATCACCCACACGAGGTTTTACTGAAGAATGGGCTGAAAGTGCCAGTGGCGTGTGTATAGCCTGAAAGTGGAATTAGGTGAGGGGAGCCAGCTAGGGGACTATGTAGGAAAGAAGTCCTAGTGCAGGAGACAGGAAAGAAGCAGTCAAAGAAGGAAACCATGGAGAATAGGATGGTGCCAAAGATCCAAGAGAGGGAGAGGAAACATTCACAAATGGGCGAATCTGTGGTACTGCATTAGATAAAGAATTTAAGGGGAACAAGGCTGAGAAGAGAGACCATGTTTGGTGGGTAGGAAGCTGTAAGTGAGCGTCCAGCCTATGGGACAGCCAAACTCTGCTTCCTTGGCAGAAGACGTGCAATAATCTTTCTTCAGATGCAAAATATTGTTTTGATAGACATAGAGGCAATGGCAATCCTTTTCTGTAAATATAACTAAAGGAGAAACTTTTTGAAAAAGAGTTTCCCTTATGCTGGCATTGATCTTATGAAAAGGAAAATTCCATTCATCAAACACTATGTTTTACTGTTTTTTGAATGCAAGAAAAATACATTCATAGTGTCAACATTTTCCAGTATTTGTATTGCATCAAAATGTACCTTATGTCGACATAAGGAAAGAAGATATCG